ATTAAAAGAAAAAATTATTATTAAAATTAATTATATAAATTTATAATTATGTTTACTTGTTAATAGTTTCTAATTTATTTGTTATTGCATTCCTATGGGCACCAGTATCTAAATTATTAACCTCCCCTCAAACAGATAATTCCTATCGGAATTAATAAATAATTATTTAATTATAATTTTACTAGTAAGTGTTAATCTCATCTTATATTAATAAATTATTTTTAATAATACTTTAATACTATTTAATATAACTTATATTATATAAGGTTTCATAAAATTTTTAATAAAAATCTTATTTAAATAAATCACATTTAAAATGCACCTTAACTAGCATTGTGCAATGTTTAAATTATTAAAAGTTCCTGTTCAATTGAAATATGATTGCTAGACATTATCGCATACAAATAAAACTTGAAAATATAAATCCTTTTGCTTAAACGTACGACTATTTTGAGATAATAATGTTATTTACAACTTATATTTGACTATAAGTGGGAAATTTTTTTTTTCGTAAGTCATATGATATTTAATTGAAACTAGTAAAAATGATATTTGTTTTATTATATTTTAATAATTATGAATTAATTTTACATGTTCAATTATGAATGCCAATTGAATTATGAATTAATGCGCTCGCAGCTTATTTAATACGCAAATTAAATTTATTTACAATTTACCATGGAAAATTTACTAAATTTTATTTATATAAAAAATAAGTTTCATTATATTTACCCACATATTGAACAAAAATTTAGTTAATTTCCACTTATTAATAAACACATGCACTTAGTGTACAGTACTTGTAATCTAAAAATAATTTAAGGAAACAATAAAATTTAAAAAACTACTGGTTATCTAGCTATGAATTAAATAGAAATACTTTTGAGTAAACACATTTTATAGTCTAAAAGTTGGCAAAATAATTTTTTATGCATACTTTTATATGCCACAAACCTACACACAATTATCACCACAAGAATCCGATACTACTGAAGTATACAATGTAATTAGTGTTGAGTTTTGAGTTGCACTTAAAGGCAATTGTATTATGAAAATACACTGATAAGATTCATTTGTTACGTTCAACCTGTTTATCGGATACACAGCAACTCATTTCATAACTTCATAATTTACAACATCTCCCCATATTATGTAATAAATACTTAGGAGCATGCACTTAAATTTATTTTATTGGCTATAATCACTAATAACTTTATTGTACAACAGTTTTATTAATCTACTAAATCTGAATATATAAAATATAATAAATATGGTGCGTGTTATAAAGTTTAGGCATAATTTGCAAACTCCAGGCGCTATAATGAAATTATACGCTTAAGACTTTTGTCGCTTATCTCATTGTCACTTCAAACACTGTAGTGATTATCATATCTATAGGGTTATAAATATGAGGGTTTACAGTGAAATACAACTACTTTACTTCCAAAATGACCAGGATCAGTATTTCTGACATCACGTTTCCCTCAGTGACTCATTTGTGATTGACAATATAAACCCATATAACATTGTACACTAAATGTGCTCGACCATATCTGATCTAAAGTATTTACTGTATAAAATCATGCAATTATAAGTAGAATTCATTGGAAAACACACTTAAAAACTCAATGTAATCGCCAATTAATTATCAAAAACTATGTGCAAACTGACGGTTAATATGAAAAATTATATTGTTTTTTAATTTAACAAAAATAAAGTTTTTATACTAAAAGTGAGACTAATTTTCACACCTAAAATGAGTGCTTATTTTACAACTAAATATTTTCACACTAACTTTTGTATATTAAAATACAATTTTCACATAAAGTATTGCCTAGTTTTGCAAACATATAAAACTCATTTAGAAATCTTATAATTTATTTTAGTTTTTCCTGAATTTAAATAATTTTTATCGAAATAAAATTTTACACCAAACAATATTATCTATTATAATATTACGAAAGCATTACTTTAAAATTTAAATAAATTTTTGCTCAAAAAATAATATAATTAAATATTTTTTCGACACAATATAAGCATAAAATCACAAATTAATGACATTTTTTTGAGACAAATGACTGACAGGTACTCAAGAGTTTGTATGTCTGGCGGAGTCGGGACTATAGGGGAAATGTATGCCATCCGACGATCACATGTATGGATAATGTTATTGTTAATATACCGGTGCCTATAATTGTAGCGCTAATGTGCTCGCACAAGTAGCTAATGACGAATTAAATGTCCAAATGTGCGTAAATATCATCATTAGATTTCACAACATACATAATATACGTACTAATAGGGGGTGAACCAAGTGCTACCATACCACCCTGATATGTTAAGTGCAAGGGAGGGCTATTAAAATTAATATACATTATATTGAAGTCTAATTAATACATAATTTATGCATTTTATATATTAGCCTTATAGTCGTGAGAGTTATAAAAACATAAGTATTTTAATCTTAGTTTTTAATTTTTAAAAGTTTTACGAGTTTTCACACCTAATATATTACAACACCTCTCAAATCCCTGGGCTATACCTACCGGCCCTCTCTCTCTCATGTATACAGTTGTATAGAATAATAACAATAAAAAGTTGTTTTATTAGCAAATAATTGGCTAATTATAAGTTTATATGTGATTTGAAATACGCTATTAATATATACGGTAAGGCAAGGTATGGCATAAAAGTAGGCGATCCGTGAAATTCAAATGGTTTCAGCAACAAAAAACTTATAAAACACTTTTTGTGAATATCTAAAATAAATTTTTATTGTATTTTCACAAGAATTTTAACGTAATAGCGAGTCGTTTATTGTTTTTGAAGTTTTCATTTAATAAAATACAAAAGTATTTTCAATGTGTTTCGCTTTTATAGCAATTATTTCCTTTTAAAATAGTAATACATTTCTATAGTCCTATAGTGTACAAACATATTAATAAGAAAAGTATTTATAAATAAAATGATATTTCTATAGAAAAATAAATTTTTAATGAAGTTTTGTAACCGATTTGGTGTCCAAACGATGTGTTATTATAATTCACTCATTCATTCATTTGCGTAATTCTATTGAAATAAACGATTATTTTTGTAAAATTTATATAAAAAACAATTCAAGTTTAAAAGTGCGAATTTATTACCTGTATGCAAATTATCATAAATTTATATTAAATTAATTAAAACTTATGTCTAATGTAATAATTTATAAACATGTTTACACTTTTAGTGAATTGATTTCAAAATTTCAAAATTAATTATAAGTTTATGGGGAAAACAGTAGACATTATACACCATATGTGTCTACTATTTTTGTTGTCATCAAGTAATTTGCAGTAAATTTATTAATCCATTCAAAACTAAGTCATAATTTAGTTGAAACAAGTCTTAATTAAAAGTCATATTTCTCTGCGAAGATATCTCTCATAATAAATAATAAACTTTTTGTTTAGTTTTTAGTCAAATATCATATTTTATAATAGGGTTTAGGGTTTAGAGATAGTTATTACACCTAAAAAATATTTTCAAAACTTAATTAAATTAGTTTTTAATTCAAATTTAGTGTCAAAACAAAAAACACAAACTTTTCCACTATTTTCTGGATAATGATTATGTGATTTGAAAACGAAAGTGTATTTTATGTCTAAATAAATGTCTTTCTAAACAAACATTTAAACTTATCTATAGATAATCTATACGATAGTATAAATGGACTAAAAACTATCAATTAGTATAAGAATTATTCATAACAAAAAGTTTTTGCTATTATTTTTATTGAATAAATTACACAAAAATTAGATCAGAGGTCTAAATAGGGCTGTCTGTCCGATAAGGCTGTCAGTCAAGGATCTAATTATAATTATATTTAAATTGGCGTCAGTCCTAACGACCACACCATTGCCTCCCATTCCCCTTAACCCCCACTTTTAAACACTCTCTCACATCCCGAGTATACATTACATTTAAATAGACAATAATTTGTTGTTTTTCGCAATTATATTGTGATATCAGAAATAATTATCAATAAAACGCTTTTAAAAAACTTAACGCTCTGTCGGCCATCCATTTGGTGGACGAGAGAGAGAGAGAGAGAGAGAGAGAGAGAGACTTAATGTAAAGTATAAACACATTTCTTAACTTACATTTAATTTTTTTAAGAGTAAAAGCGAATTAAAATTTAAATATATTTCTTAAAACTTAAAGGAAAGCAATTTATAATAAATTTAAATATAATTTTATTTTTACATTTTATTATTTTAAGTACAATGAGAGAGAGGTTTGGGAGAATAGGGGGAGGGGATTACGATCGCATACCCAGTATGGCACAGGTAGGTCTCACTTTTGCTTAAGATGAGGTATCACATTTTTTTTGGTGACACACGTAAACTAAATTTTCAAGTTTATTATCAAAAGTATAATTGAATTAAAAGTTTTTATATTTTAGTTTAGTGTTAAGGAAGCGAACGATACGCGTATTAAATATAATAAATAATAAGTATTTTTAAGCGAAAAATTTTTCGCTAAATATTTAGTTCAGAAAACAGAGTGAAAATAGTTTTCTCAACTAATTTGGGAAACAGTTGTTTAATAAGAATTTTCTAATTTATAATTAATAATATTTGCGATGAAAATCAATTAATGAAAAAAAACTATAATAAGTTATATTGAAAAAAATATCTAAATTTGTCTAAAATACTAATTAAATGTATAGAAAATTTTTATACAATTAAATAATTAGTAATTTTATGATTCAGACGCCGAAAGAGTTAACAGTATTATCGGAGTTAAGGAAAAATATTTTTTGGATTTAGTCTCTAATTAACTAAAAGTTATTTTTGATTAATAATAACTAAACTCCTAATTAAACACTAAACTAAAGCCAAAAGTTTTAACATAAGTTTTGTTCAAAAACTTTAATATAATTCCCATACCTATTGACCTAAAAATCATCGGAAACAACAGACCGTTCCCTATCAACAACCGGTGAGGAACTGGCGATAATGTCGGACAACAGCCACACCGGACCCTACGTGCGGATCGTCGAGCAGCCGGCGCGCAGTGCCGTCCGATTCCGGTACGAGTGCGAGGGTCGGTCGGCCGGCCCCATACCCGGTGTGTCGTCCACGCCCTCCTGTGCCACTTACCCCACCATTCAGATCGTCAACTACAGGGGCTCGCGGGCGATGGTAGTGGTGTCGTGCGTGACAGTGTCGCCGCCCTATCGGCAACACCCGCACCATTTGGTGGGTCGCGTGGGCTGTCATCAGGGCGTCTGTACGCTAATAGTGGACAATACGGACCACTTGTGTTCGTTCACTCATTTGGGTATTCAATGCGCTAAACGTAACGAAATCTCCTCAAGACTTAAGCTCCGGAAGCAACTCCGGGTAGACCCTACCAGTGCCGGCTTCGATCACATCATGAAAAGCTCCCGTTCCCTCGATTTGGGCGCTATTAGGCTGTGCTTTCAGGCCTATATAGAAGATCCTGTGACCCGCAAATTCACGCGACCTCTGGCGCCCGTAGTCTCTGATCCGGTATATGATAAGAAACTGCTGCCGAAGCTCATCATCACCGACATCTCGACTACCTGTGCGCCTATAACTGGTGGGAAAGTCATGCTATTCTGTAACTACATCGACGAGGAGGACATTGAGGTGCGGTTTTACGAGTTGGACACTACCGGCGCTGTGGTCTGGGAGTCGATCGCCGATCTCAAGCCTCCGGTGGGTGAGGTTCACAAGCGGGTGGGCATATCGCTGATGGCACCGGGATATCCGTACAGCGACGACATGTCTGGTGGCAAACCAGTGCCGGTTTATTTGCAACTGAGACGCCCATCAGATCAGCGCTCATCGGATCCGGTGGTGTTCACGTACTTACCCGACTGTCCCTATGAGAACTGCCCCCTCGCTCTCTACCAGCGCCTACACCGGCACCAGAGTCAAGGCAATAGTAACTCGGAATCCCTGTCCACCACTACGACCACCACCACTACCGGTCATAATCATCATAACCATCAGCACCAACAGCCGACTATCAGCTCGAAAAGAGGTCGTATGAAGCCGACTACTGGTGCTAAGGATAGCTATACTACTAATGATGATAATAATCGGGACATGAATTGCAAAAAGAGGGTAAAAGTGCTGAATGTACTCAACGCGAGCGATAGCGAGGATATGGAGGGCTCGGATGATGGCGTGGATGAGGACATGACACCGACCGCAGGGGACAGGGATGTGTATCACGGCATCAGTCAGTATTACAGTCAAAATAGTCAGTATTTTGGCGCTAATTGTCTCCACAAACCGGATGTGAATAATAATCACATGAATGGCAACCAATTGGCGATCAAATGCGAGCCAAGTGGTGGTCAGACTGACTGCCAGTTCCCCGATAGTGGCGGCGCTCTCATGTCCGTCAACGCCGCCAGCAATGATCTACTCATGGAGTGCCTCAAGACTATAGACATCGACTGTTTGGCTGCCATGCAGTTCACGGCACCCGGTGCCCCAGACTATCACCACAACCCCATCCACACCACTAACAACACCTATACAACCGGTGATGACGAGGACTGGGGCTCATCCCTGCAGCAAACAGCCGGCGCTCCTCACTATCACAGCGATAATAGCTACACGTATAGCGACTATAATGATAGTATGGCTTACTATCAGAATCAGCCACCGGTGCTCGACAGTCAGGATAAGCTAAGTTTTATTGACTTGTAAACTAGTTTTTATTAGTGTTTGTTGTTATGTTTGTTATGATAGCTATTGATTTGTCCAAAATACTTGACACTGAATTTGTGTAATAAAATACTAATGTATTTAAACAAAGTGTTGAAATTCATTTTAATAGCATTTAAAAGTCACATTAAGTATAGGTAATGATATACCTGTGCTGAAAATATACCTGTTTTATGAGGTAATAAAATGATTATAATGAGTGTTTGAAACGCAAAACTATAGGCGCTTATAGCGTTTAGTTTATTATTTAATCCTATTATGAATATTGTATTTAATGTTTAATTTGAATGATAAATAAAATGCATTGTTTTTAAAAAGTTCATAATTAATATTAATAGTTTAACTTACTACAACATAATTAAAAAAAATTATATTCAATATTAATACTAATGAGTGATAAAAATAACTAAATTACAGAATTTATTTAAGACTTATGTAAAATGTGAAAACATTAATACCAGTAAAAGTATTTATTTACAATAGGATATTTATTTTCAAAATGATTTTAAACAAAAATAAATATATATACAATAAATATTTTTGATTCTGATTTCATTCAAAGTAATAATAATACTTTTCATTATTACTATTGTAAATATAAATATAGTAAATATAGTAACAAATGTTGTTTAGTTGTACAGAATTACAGTGAATCAATATTATTGAATTTTTATAGCATACACAATATTGCCTATTATTATGCGATACATTATTCACAGGTATTATTTAGTACGATATATGGAGTTCAATGACTGCATACATAAAACTTTGTTAAAACAACCAGAAATACATATCATTCATACATTTAACAGCAAAAATTCAAATAATTTAAAACAGTATTTGTTATTAAAAGTCACGAAAACAACATTCAATCCATTGGTTTTGAATTTAATAAAAGTTTGGTTTGAAAAAACAAAACTCATTTTACAAGTGAACAAAATTTGAACAAAAATTTTTTCACTTTCACTTCACTTTCATAACCAGGCGTTGGCTTTCAAATCGCAACCAAACACTCAACACTATTATACACACAAACTCGTAATAGTCGTGAAAATATTTGCTTCAAAAAAATAGTTTTACTTTTATTACAGCGAAAAAATTACCACAAAAATCGCGTATTTGTTAAAAATATAAAAACTTGTGTTTTAAACACCAAAAACTCATTACTATTTTCAGTGCATAACTCGTAACCACTTTGTGTGACCGCAAAATGAACGCCAAAATCATTTTCTACATCATTATCATCGGTCTCGCGAGTAGGCCTACCCTAAGCTGCCGGTGCGACGCGAGCCTGGGCTTTGGCCAGATATGCGGTCACCGGATCTCTACCGACCCCATCGACGGCTGTAAACCAAACTCCGTATACCTGTGCGACCAGAATATGCCTAATGGTTGGGCGAATGAAGTGAAAAATTGTTTGCTATCTAATCAGCACTGCATTTACGGCTGGACTGCGAGCACGGAATTCCAGTCCGATGTCTGTGTCCACCACTACCTCAACACACAGTATGTCAGTAGTGGTGATAATAATCGCATGAATGATCATAATATCAATAATAATAATAATAATAATAATAATCAAAATCGTAATCAAAATCAAACTATACGTGTGAATCATAATGTTGAGTCCGATTTTCAGTCCAGTTTTATGACTCCCAGGGCTTAGGGAGAGCTAGTATGCACCGGGATCGTATTTAAGTACAATATATTCAATCATTATAATTTATTATGCGGTAATTTCTAATTGCTAATTAATGTATTTTCATTATTTTGTATCCCAATTAGACATCACTTTTTGTATTTTGTTTTTTACTTTATACTGATTGTATTAATTATAATTATAATAAAATTAATTCAATTCATTTTACAATTGTTTCTGAAACTCAATTAAAAATTAATTTTTATGTGAAACACCAATTTAACACTAATTGATTAATTAAATAAGAGTTATTAGTAATATATTTAAATTATATGCCATATATAATCTATGCCTATCTAACTAATTAATGTAAAAAATGTTAGAAAAATTTAATTAAACAAAAAACATTTTAATAAATTAAATCAAATAACTCTCATATAAATAAACTATATAATTAATTAAATGCAAAAATTATTTCACAATTAAAACATATGTATTTTCAAACTAATAGTGTATTTAACTTATAATAAACACCTAAATTCATACATACCATGAAATTATCACTGATACTACTCATCACTACCACCATCCCTATCACCAAATGCGGTGACAATACCTGCGACACTGTGTGTGCCGGCAATACTAGCTGCCTGTCCCAGTGTAAGGCCGAGGCGGCTAACCCTAAACGGCACCCCTTGAGTACACCTCATTGCGGGCTGACATACGTGGGCTCACTGAACGACGACCCCATGCGACAAAAGGTACCGGGTGTTGACGTACTGCAAAACCCCGATACACATCCCTGGGTGGTTACGTTTCACGCCAACTACGAGGACATACACTTTTGCGGCGGTGTTATCATTAGTGAACGGCTAGTGTTAACGGCTGCCCACTGTTTGTATGAATTTCTATTGTTAATTAGCTTTATCATATTGGTTATAGAGTTCCCAACTCATCAGGGATGTCCTTGAGCATTTAAAAAATATGGGAATTCATTCAAACGATATAATGATTTGAAAATGACTTTCTCAAGGAAGTTTTTACATTGAATATTTTAAAAAATCTAAAACAATTTAATTTAATTTATTACAACACGTTAATTTGTTAGCAATTATTTATAAAAGTTTACTTATTTATACTTAAT